CACAGGAAGATTTCTCTACCTCTTCCACATTCATAAATTTAAAAAAAAAAAAAAAAAAAGAAGAAGCCAGAAAGTATTCTTCCTACACTGCCACAAGAGATCATTTGTCCTTCAAAATATCTCAGAGGAATAGTCATAAGGAAATACAAGTACCTAATATATCTTCAGTAGTACTATACATTGCTAAATACTTCCCTTGCCAATTGTATTCATTAGAGAAGCTCTTAATGATATTGAAATAGGGAGAGCTCTTCACTGTTATGATTTTTCTGTTCCTTCCTTTTGTTCTTTCCAGGATTGGTACTGTTTTTATTTATGGCCAGCTAGACCATTCTTGACTGTCTGCCATTTCTACTCCCTTTGTAATGTCTAAACTGATTTCCCATCTATTTTTCTAAAGGTTAACTATTCGTTAACTATTTGTTCTATGGACACAAATGTTTGGATTTCTAGAATATGTATTGTCTTCTTTGTCCTCCCTTTTTACTGCAAGAATAACACTAACAATGTCAACAGTTTCACCTGCAACAGAAAGCTAGCTATTTCATTTGGTCTTAGAATCACAGAATTACAGAATCATAGAATAGTTAGGGTTGGAAAGAATCTCAAGATCATCTACTTTCAACCCCCCTGCTGTGGGCAGGGAAGCTTCACACTAGACCATGTCGCCCAAGGCTCTGTCCAGCCTGCCCTTGAGCACTGCCAGGGATGGAGCATTTACCACTTCTTTGGGCAGCCTGTTCCAGTGCCTCACTACTCTCACAGCAAAGAACTTCTTCCTTATATCCAACCTGAACTTCTTGATATCTGTCTTCTCCATTGTGACGTCAGTGAAGGGGAACAGGTGGTGACAGACTCATAGAATCACACTGTGCTAGTTTTGGCTGGGATAAAGTTAATTTTCTTCATAGTATCTTGTACGGTGCTGTGTCTTGGATTTGTGACCAAAACAGTCCTGGTAATACAGGGATGTTTTCATTGCTGCTGAGCAGAGCTTACACAATGTCAAGGCCTTTTCTAGCTCTCACACCACCAGGGATAAGGCTTTGAGGTTAACAAGCATTAGTGAGGGGACACAGCTGGGGGGGGCGTTAACAGTTAAGGCATTTGTCTTCCCAAGTACCCATTATGCGTGATGGAGCCCTTCTGTCCTGGAAATGTCTAAACAACTTCCTGCCTATGGGCATTAACAAATGAATTCCTTGTTTTGCTTTGCTCAAACACTCAGCTTTTACTTTATCTATTAAACTGTTTTTATCTTAACCCGTATGTTTTTCTCGCTTTTGCCTTTCCCATCATCTTCATAGTCCCTCTTTGGGGGAGTGAGTGAGTGGCTGCATTGGCGTGCGTGCCTACCAGACTTAAATCACAACACACATAAATCAGCTATGTCTGTGCAGATGCCCTGTAGAGACAAAAGCGTGAGCCCCATGCTGCAGAAATAAGCCACAGGTAGAGACTACACTGAAGGAAGCACTAAGTGCTATGACAAGGAAGGCAGGATGTATGTGCCTTCTGGCAACAGAGGAAGGACTCATTCTCCACCTGCATATCTGCAGCTTCAGAAAGCTAGGCTTCTCCTCAGCCTAGCAACAAGTGAAGAGGAACAGCTCCCAGAATGAAGCACAGCTGAAGCTGCCATCAAACATGGTGGCAGATGACAGTGACTGGATACTATGTCCTGCAGGGGATGAGACCAACCATCTGCTAACCTATCTTCCAAAGTGTTTTGCTGTTTAGTGGGTGCTCAGATGTGGGATGCTGCAGAGAGATTATTAGGCTTTTGCAGTCCTTTGACTGTTAGCTCTTGCTGCTCCCAATGTGCCCTTGCAGCAAAGGTTAACAGTATCCTGGGCTACATTATCAAGAGTGTAGACAGCAGGTCAAGAAAAATGACTCTTCCTCTCTGTTAAGCAGTGGAGTACCACATGCAGTGCTGGGTTTCCTCGTACACAGAAAACACAGGCATGCTGGAACAACTCTAATAGAGACCACCTAGATGGTCAAGAGCCATATAACAAGGTGCTAAGGTGACTGGGTTTGTGAGAAAAGAAAGTTAATGAGAGGTCTCGTGGTTTGACAGCTACCTCGGATGAGGATCAGAAGAAAACAAAGTGGGACTCCTCTCAAAGATTCAGTGATAGGACATAAGCTGGAACACTTAAAAATCTGACTACATGTAAGAAAATACTTTGTAATGTGAGCAATCAATCAAGACCAGGAACAGGCTGCCCAGAGAAGCTGTGGAAATTACATGATTGGAGATATTCAAAGGTCCTAATGACCTTAGGCTTAATTGAAAAAAATATTTGAACAGGTCATTACAAGCAATGACACCCAAGATGCTCCTTCCATCCAAAATTATTCTGTGATTATATGATTCCACCTATTATTTTCCAAATTATACACCACTTACAGCGATTCCCCCCCCAAAATATATCTTACATTGGAGGATGTCTCTGTGTGAGTCTGGATGACAGTTGCATTGACTGTACATAATTGTGCTGCAGAAAAATTAAGTCAATTAATTGTTCATTTTTTAACCTGAAAAAAAAAAAAAAAAGGTTACATATGTCTTGTAGAAGTTATGGTGTGGCTTCAACTTGGAAGTGAAAATTTATTCTTTTGTTGTCTTACAGATGAGAATGAATGAGCATACACTGCAAGCTTAAATTAAAACAGCCTAATCTGATCATCTATCTGGTATAAAAGTTTTAGCCTGCAGGTTTTGCAACATCTTACTTTAATCTAATATTAACTGCTGCCCAATTCACTTAGACAAGCTGCTTAAAACATGTATGGGATGGTTTCTTTTCAACCATACTGAGAGAGTTGTTCTCTAATATTATGAGTTTTGTGTTCACTGGGTAAGAAACAACTCAAATTAGTAACCTCATAAAAAGACAGATGTTCTTCTCACAGGGCTACTCAAGTCAGCAAAAACCTAAGAATAATGTACATAAATGAATATCGAATTAGGATTTTCTTTTTTACATGCATGGCTCAATCCTACTAATAATATGAATTAAACTGTGCTGTCCCCTTCTAGGTACATACAAAAAGAGCAATGCTCCAAACTATAATTTTTTACTTCCCCTTTTTTTTCAGTTCTTAACCTTTTTGTATTGTATATAATTATATATCTATGTATATACATAAATATATAATATGTATTAAGCAAGCAGTTTCCAAGTGTTTTTTTTTTTTAAGGATAACACTGATTGATGACATGGAGACCAATAAATAAATAAGATCAAATTACTTTTTCTGACACAAAACATCTCAAAAATAGGATAGAAAGCTCTTATGGAACAGTTTTCCTTAAGGTAAAATGGATTTAAGTGTTACTTCTGGACCAACATATCTCTATGCTATTTTTAATATCATCTAGGTATCATGAAAAAAAAAAATCTGCTAAAGAAATATGCCCCAGGACACTACAAATGCATGAATTTAGGGTAAACTTCACCATCATGATGGCATTTTATCTCAGCAAAATATTTGTGTTTGTAATGGTTGCAAATTTATCCCTAAAGAGAACCTATTTTCAAATCTCTTTAGCCAGAGAAAATTACAGACTCGTAGCTGTTTCATCTGGTGTTGTTTTGCATATTACCATTTAGCATGATTTTGTCTTAGAGAAGTCCAGGTTTGAAGGTAGAAGGACCATTACAGTTTTGATTGGATATAGACAAGAATTAGACTCGTACAAACCACAGAGTGTGATGTTTTCTTCCATTTAACACAGTAACTGCAACACATCCTGATGATACTGGATTTGCACATACTCTGGAATTTGATACAACCCATAGAAAACACACTTTTTAATGAAGTGCCTAAAATTTAAACACTTGCAAGACTTGACTTGAAAGTTCTAGCAGAGGGACAAATGACATTAAATGTTACTGGGTAGTCCTCTTGGGAGTATGCAAAGTAGCTCACTGAGCAGAGATCTCAACATTGCTATTCTGAAGTTTTACTAGGTGAGTCTGGCAGGGAGAGATTCCATTTCAGGCTGGGAATGGTGCTGATAACACTGATGTTTTTAGTTACTGCTCAAATGTTTACTCTGACCAAGGATTTTGTGAGTCTCATCCTCTGCCAGGGAGGAGGGGAAGCTGGGAGGAAGCAGAGACAGGACACCTGACCCAAACTAGCCAAAGAGGTATTCCATACCACAGCACGTCATGCCCAGGATATAAACTGGGGGCAGTTACCTTGAAGGGAGAGATCACTGCTCAAGTCTGGCTGGGTATCAGTCGGCGAGTGGTGAGCATTTGTACTCTCTTCCCTTGCTATTTCCCTTATCATTATTATTATTGGTGGTAGCAGTAGTGGTTTGTGCTATACCTTAGTTACCTGACTGTTCTTAACCCATGGGAGTTACATTCCTTTGATTCTCCTCCCCATCCCTCCACAAGAGGGGGGAGGAATGGAAGGCGGGGAGTGAGTGAACAGCTGCATGGTTTCTGAGTTATGGCGGGGTTTAAACCATAGCAGCTCTTTTTGGCACCCAACATGGGGCATGAAGGGTTGAGATAACGACAGATCTGACCAGCGTGTGTCTAATCGTATTTGTGATAAGCATTCATTGTTTCAGATTAATAGTCACTCGTCACAATGCTGATTTATTGGCTTGCAAAGTTGTTGCTCTTGATCTTGGAGTTTCAGCATGTTGTACTTTACAGCCGATATTTGCTGTGTTAGTGTTTATTGGCTGGGGGCCTTGGGCTATGGTTCTTGTTTCATTATATTTATGGTAATGACTTGTAATACAATAGAATCATTGATCATGAAACTGATCTGGCTTGCGTTCCCAGTGTGGTCACCACCTCTATACTTTGGGAGGTATATAATGGAAGTGTTTAGCAATTACACATCTTTTTTCCCCTCTTCGGGTGATAGACCCATGAAGGAGACATTCCCTTACATTCCCAGCCCCCCCACCAGGACATTTACAGCATCATTTGAGAGTTCTGAAGGTTTTGAATGAATTCCAGGTACCCTTGAGCCCTGCCTGCTGATTGTGATGGGGATCACCATGTTGGCATGCATACAGAGTGTGTTTTACCCACAACCACTTCATCTGATCTTGAGAGTTAAGCAGAGTTAGGTTTGGGCCTTTTCTAGGGTTAGACAATGATATAGAAGGACAGAGATTTTCCCCAGAGTCTGGGCTTAAACCACGACATTCCTTCATTCATATGTCTATGTACATATGTAGATATGTATATGTATAGGTCCAGCTTTCAGTTTCCCAGTTTAGTTACTGAAGATCCTATCTGTTCATCTTGTAGTGACTGGTAAGAAATCCAGCTCTTCGCAATGTAGAGGAAATGGTAACCTGAATCTCACTACACCCCATGGTTTAAGCTGACCAAAAAAACCAACCACCATGCTACATGCTAAACTTACCTCTAGACATAGCAGGCACAATTTGGTAGCTAACACATAGGTCACCAGAGTAGTTGAAGCTGCCCTCAGGTACTCTATCTGTCCTACAGATGCTGCTAAAGTGGGGACAAGTCAATAAAAAAAAAAAACAATAAAATGTATTTCTATAAGTACAATAGTAACAGAAGGCTAAGGAGATTCTCCTTCCTTCATTGGATGTAGGGAGGAACATAGTGACAAAGGACAAGGAAACAGCTGAGATACTTAATGCTTTCTTTGCATCTGTATTTAATGGTAAGACCAGTTGTTCTTTAGTTACGCAGACCCCTGAGCTGGAAGACAGGGATGGGGATCAGAATGAAGCCTCCATAATCCAAAGGGAAATGGTTAGCAACCTGCTACACTACTTAGACATACACAGGTCTATGTGTCTGGTTAAGACTCCTGTCAGGGGGACTGAAGGAGCCGGTGGAAGTGATCACCAAGCCACTTTCAATCATTTATCAGCAGTCCTGCCTAACTGGAGAGATCCCAGTTGACTAGAGCTTCATATGTGTGACACCCATCTTCAAGAAGGATAGAAGGAGGATCCAGAGAACTACAGGCTTGTTGGTCTGACCTTGGTGATGGGGAAAGTTATGGAACAGATCATCCCAAGAGTCATCATGTGGCATGTACAGGTCAACCAGGTGATCAGGCCCACTCCACATGAGTTTATGAAAGTTTTTGCTTGGCTAAAATCACCTTCTTCTATGACAAGGTGACTCGCTCAGTGGATGAGGAAGAGTTTGTGGATATTGTCTACCTAGAAATTAGTAAAGCCTTTGACACTGTTTTCCACTGCATTCTCCCAGAGAAACTGGCTACTCATGGCTTTGTTGTGTTTTAACCAGAGCGGGCAACTAAGTACCATGCAGCTGCGTTCAGTTTTGGGCCTCTCACTACAGGAAAGACATTGAGGTGCTGGAGCATGTCCACAGAAGGGCAGCAATAAAGCTGGTGAAGAGTCTAGAGAACAAGTCCTGTGAACAGCAGCTGAGGGAACTGGGGTTGTTTAGCTTGCAGAAAAGGAGGCTCAGGGAGGACTTTATTGCTTCTACATCTACCTGAAAGGAGGTTGTAGCAAGCTGAGGGTTGGTCTCTTCTCACAAATAACAAGCCATAGGATGGGATGAAATGTGCTAGGGAAGCACAACTGGATATTTGGAAAAAATTCTTCACTGAAAGGTTTCTCAAGCATTGGAACTGGCTGTCCAGGGAGGTGGCTGGGTGGGACATGGTTTAATGGTGGACTTAGAAGTGTTAGGTTTACAGTTGGACTCGATGATATTAAAGGTCTTTTCCAACAAGAATGATTCTCTGATTCTATTATGACCCTGTGTCCTACTGGGACAGTGTGTTCTTCCCCCTGCCCTCCTGTCCCACTCGCTCAAGTGCTGAACAGAAGTGGTGGTTGTAATGAATGTCTCTGCTCACAATGGCTGCATCTGACTTAAAGTGGGTTTGGGGGAGACAGATGACAACACAATAGCCAAGGGTTAATATGAGAAATGAGCCCTTCCTCTAACCATAGTGCTGATCAAGGTCTGACTTAAGCCATGTTTGGTAGAAACTAACATCTGTAGTCAGGATGCAAATATGACTACAAGTCAATCATCTTACTCCATAAATAGTGGACAGCCCAGGGCCTGTTGAGCTCGCCTTGCATATGAACACCTCATAAAGTTACTCCTTGAGGTTGAGAGGTTCCTTTTCCCAACAGATTCTTGATAAGTGATTGATAGTATGATAAACCTTGATAGCTAAGTAATATAAAGGATTAATAGTGCATATATAATCCTTTAGACATAAAGTGTTGACCAAGTCTGAGACTAGGAGTAGATCCAGCAGCATCTAAACTCTTCTCAGAGAAAGAGTTTAGAAAGAAAGGGGGTCCTTTCTGATCCTCAGTACTCAACAGGAGTGCCTCCCTGACAGTTTTGTCTGACACTCTCCTCTGTGCAGCAAATAATAGAGTGTACCTTTCCCTCAAATCTTATTAAGCATAGTGTTTACTATCAAACTCAAGACTGGTAAAAGTCTTCTACCTTTTTTGGGGGTGGAATGTCAAGATGATGTAGAAAGCCCTGGGGCATTGCAAATGGCACTAGGTTTGCCATTTAAGTGGCTGAATTTGTACAAAAATAATTACAGATAAATTTTTAATGGTTTAATTTCAAATTATTTCCTATTATTAGAATCATAGCCTTCATCTCTTAGGTTTAATTTATTTGCTTATTCAGTTTATTTTTAGGATCCCATGTTCTGATATTTGTTTCCAAATATTCTCTGATGCTTTCTGTTACTTTATAAATTGCAGAAAATTGCTTCATATTTTTCTATTTCAAAGTGATATATGGTAAACATATCACTAAGTTCATACAGCTATTAAGCATGCACAAACATACACATAAAATATTGCACTGGTCTCTTTTATTCTGTATTCATCTTATTCTGTATTCATCATAGTTTCTAAGAAAAACGTTATTATATTAGGCAGTGAGGTCATACATTAAATTTGTGTTTCTTGTAGGCCATGTACTATTTTTACAGTATTAATTGGTGGATCTAACCTTGAAGTCACACCCTCTAGAGGCACTTCTGTTTTAAGATCACATGTAAGTATGAAGTCTGAACGCCTGGAAGCAAAACCAGAATGGACTCTCAGCTGTGACAATGAGCTGAAATGTCATCAATGGCTCTACTCCTACTGCAGATATATAGGGAAAGCTTAGATACAAAATATGGTACTGAAATAAGATTATATTTTTTATGTCCACTGTGCATTTGATAGTTGCTAGTGTATATTTCAGCAAATAAAGCAAAAGATAGGGTCAGCTATTACATTTGGGGGTTTTTGTAGATTTTCTTAACTTGAGGGTAATTTTAAAGTAGAACTGAAAGTGTTCCTTTCAGCTAATGAGGAAGGCTTTTTAGAGATGTGCAATGAGTTTTTTAGATTAAATATAGCTTGGTAAAAAGACCACAAGCTTTTGGACATGGAAGCCCTTCTTCAGGTTTAAAATAGAAATATCAGCCTTCAATCTGAATTCTGTGCAAGAGAAATTTCTCTGGGTTTAACTTCATTATGTTAATCATTTAGACAAATTGAAGATGACATCTTGCACTGGTGAAGCTGAGGGAGATGTGGGTGAGATTCCCAGCTCCTACAGGAAAAAGAAAGGCAGTTAATTATTACTTTTGGTGTAGTGTAATGATAAAGGGTAAGCAAAATCAGTATGCTATCAAACTGACATCTCTACTGAGTCTGCAATTTTTAGTACCAAGAAGAGCTGTAATATAGTTCACAGGCCATTTTTTTTTTTTTTGAGAATACTGTACACATCACCTTTGAATGAGAATTTGGAAGGCAGAGAGCAAGATCTCCTAGCTGTAACTACTGTTTGGTTTGCTTGATTTCAACATAGATATTCCATGAAGGCATTTGGAACATGGAATTAACTGTAAAATAAGAGCATGTATGTGTGGTATCTGTGGATTTTGTTCTGCTTCTGTTGTGGGCAAAGGAGTAGGGGATGGAAAAGGGTGTGAGAGAGCTTCTCTTGAGTAAGCATGAAAAATTAAATCTAGAAGGGTAAGATTTGCTTATATGATGCTGTTCCATCCCGCTCTGTGGGTGTGGGGGAAAATGATTTCTGTGCAGTTCCCAGGAGAAACCACAAGCCCTCCAGAGCTTGAAAATGAGACAGCAGTTAATTTTATTGTAAAGTTCCCTAAGCTGTTTTGGAAGAAACAAGAATCTTGGCAAGTTTTTATTCTTACAAAAGATCTGACGTAGAGGGAGAAAAGGAGAATAGAAAGAAAGGAGAGAAACCACCCCCTGGTAATGTCTTCTTGGTCAGTGAGCTGAAACCCTCTTAGCTGTAGTCCTCTTAGTTAGCTAGTCCACTGAGGTCCAGGGTGGAGGAGTGCAACTGAAGAACAGTTTACTTTCTAAAGGGTCAGGTTCTTTTGGAATTCTCCCACAGGTGTGTAGACCCATTGTCATGCTTGCACATGCATTGTCTGCTATTCTGTAATGTTCCAGATGGTGGCAGGGTACCTGGTAAGTCTCCAGACACCATTTACTTTGTGCTGAGGTGCACAGGCATCGCAGCTGCTGTCTGTGCCACTGTCCCCAGGCAGACTGTTGCTGGGGCAGTTGATCTTCGTGGCCCCAGAGAAGACAACACAGGAAAAATCCTGCCCACCTTGGTGGAGCAGGATCACTGCAAGCTACAGCCTGATGCTCACCATGGACAGGTGCTCGGCCTCCCTCAGTTCATTCTGTCTTCTGAGGTTTTTGAGACACACACAAAAAGGGTCTCTTGACCATCACAAATACTGGATCAAGATTCCCTTAGGTGATATTGGATCACACAGGTCAGTCAGACTACCCCAGGAAGTTGTATTTTTGTAGTCTGCTTCTAGGATTTTGGGATATGGGTTAAATAAGTATAACAATCTGTGGCTGAGATTTTTACAGTCTGAACATAGTGTAAATTTTGGGTGAACTCCAGAGTTCAGAATAGCATTTAAGGTTTGTGGTAAACACAACTGAAGTTTAATACCCTCAAAACATATATAATTATACTGCATCCCACTGTTATTTTGCCAGTCCCTCCTCTTCCATCACATCAAGCACAAACTACTTCAGAAGCTGCTATGATCTGTCACTTAAAAAATTCCATTTGCTCCATTGCACTAGGGCTCAG